AGAGAGAGAGAGAGAGAGAGAGAGAGAGAGAGAGAGAGAGAGAGAGAGATCCCAGAAAAAAAAATCCTTCAGCTTTTCCACCATACAGAAGGAGAAAGGCAAGGGACCAGAGCATCTGTTCTGAGTTTGTCATTGTGTATTCTGGCCAACTCTGCTTGGTTCACTTCTGGAGAATAATGTCAAGTGGAAAAAAAATACAGGCCAGGTAGTGTTGGAATCTTAACCCTGAACTGTCATTGGTTATTTCCTCTGTGAGTGACCAACGAGAGGACTGCTGTAGGTCGCTTCCAAGCTGCCTCTAAGACAGGTGTTGTCATCAGATACAGGCCAAAATGTTCTGATTTTCTTTATACCCATATTGTCACAATGACAACCGAATGGGGTTTAGAAGATTACACCTGCTTCCTTCATTCATTTACAGCTCAAAACCGATAGGGCATCCACAGTCATTGCTTCAGCACGTGTGTCTAGGTTGTATTAGTTCCCAGGAGAGCACTTGGATTATTCTGGGAGGGAGTCCACTGGGGTGTGCAGCGAATAAGCATGGGGTGATAGAGGGCATACTTTGCCTTCAGAACTCACACGATGTCCCTCAGGGCTACCCCCAGCTCCGGGTTTCTCAGTTTCTCTCATGCACCCTTTCCCTAGGGCGAAAGCCTAGAAGGACCCGTGATAGCTCCTGTTACACGCTTTCAGTGGACTAAGGTCTCCCTTTCCTCTCCCACAGGTTGTGTGAGGGCGTTGGCTCCGTGAATGTGTGTAAGTAATTCCAGCCTCCCTCTTTCCGGCGGGGTGGCGCGCGCCTTTGGGGCGGGAACACTTGAGCTTGCTGCAGAGCCTCTTGGCAGTGACCGTGCCTGACAAGGTCTACCCTGTTCTCCCGGCTTTTAGGCGTGAGCAGCTCCCGCGGTGGCGTCGTCTGTGGAGATCTCTGCGTCTCCGGTACTGCCCCTGCTGTCAACACCAGAGTGTGCAGCGCCCCCTGCAGCGGAAACGTGGTGGTGGGCACCCCCAATGCCTGCGTCCCCTGCGCCGGGGCAGGCGCCTGCAGCGGAGGCTGTAAGAAGTGCTAGGAGGCCACAAAGCCGCAAGCCACTGCCATGGGCCACCCTGCCCGAAGGGACAGCACTGCGGGACAGTGGCCTCAGCGCCGTCATCTCATTCTATAGCTTTCCCTAGCAACTTGTTCTGAGAATTCTTGCTTTTCTTTCCCCTTCTGCCTTTTTGCTGGATTCATTGGTCTTAGAATCTCGAAGGATCCACTGCCCCAGGATCCTTTGTCCGACTTTACCCGGGTCCCTAGGATGCTTTTGATTAGGCATGGAGACAGGGACCAACATGATTGCCAGCTTTCCTGTCACTCCGCGAGAGACCACGTGACCCAGAGCATCTTTTTCCGGGTCTGCCTGGCAGCAGCTTCCCCAAACTCAGCTGCCTGCTCATTTGCCTTTGTCTCACTTTGCCTTCCCAATAAACTAATTGCAGCGAATCAAACCCGCGCCTCAATCTCTCCAAAATGCTTATGCTAGGACCCCACCGGGCACCTGGGTGTTTTCAATAGGCAAAGACACCTCCTATCTGGTCGGGAGAAATCAGGCTTTTGGGAACAACAAAGCCAAACTCAAGGCTTGTGGGGTGGTCGGTAATCTGAGGTGTTTTGTCTCAGCAGTGTGGGCTGGGCGACTCCCTGAGCTCTACCAGGACATTTTACTTTGTAGCATTCTTGGCCTCCTCACTAGATGCAGGAAGTTTCCCCTACCTTATGTGAAGTAAAGACTTTTCTAGAGAAAGGGAAATGTCACCCAGGGATTCTCAGACACAGTCATTTTGCTTCCCTTCTGTGAAGGGTGCAGTGAGGAAGGGACTCAGAGAATGGCGGGTGGTGGTGGTGGGACTCTGGGTAGGTCAGGGACAGGAGACTCAGAGTGGTGACTACTGACTCAGAGTGGTGACAGTCACCTGTTGTGTGGGTGAATGCCGTGCTGCTTCTCTGCTGGGGAATTAGGAGAGGTGTACGCAGTTCCTAGTGCAACTTCCAGCCGTCCCAGGAGATGGGAAAGAGGCTTTGTCCCTAGAGGCACTATTGGAGCAGCAGTCTGTCTGGCTATCTCCAGTACCGGAGCAGGCAGGTCTCTCCTCCTCACTGGACTTCATGTGTTCATCTGTAAAATGGGATGACGGTGCCTACATTGTGGGGAAGAATGTCAGCTAATGATGACACACAGCAAATTTCTACAGAGGGGTGTTGTAGCTGCCTGCGGCCACGGTCAACTGGGTTCACCTGAAAGGAGGCTGGGAACCAAAGGAGGACAGAGGGCGAAAAGAGATGAAGCCAAGACAAAGTTCTCTGATCAAGGCTCAATTCTTTAAGGTTCAGCTCTCAATTTAAAGGGAAAGACCCCACCTGAACCCTTCCTTGTTTCAGGCAGAGATGGGTGGGATAATCCATTTTTGGTCATGGATCACGGCCGGAGATATCTCAAGGCAAGCTACAGGGTGTCATTTTTAAAATTTAAAATATTTTTTTTTTCCTGAGGACCAAACACATGCTAGACAAATGCTCTCCCACTGAGTTATGCTCCCTGACGGGGAAGCGGGGAAGCTTCAAACACAAGTTCCTTACTCCTCCTGCTTCCTCTTGATTTTGTGGCCTTGGAGGGGGGAAGCTCTTTCTCTTCACCTGGGATCTTATTAGGTACTGTGATAACAGAGAGGTTCTCAGAGCCTCCCTTGCCAAGGCTGGTCCTGCTGTTGGGTACCAGCTGGGAGCTGAGGTGGAGGTTGTCGGCTGGACTATACCAGTCAGGCTTGAATATAATAATCTGAGCAGACAGAATTATCACGAGTGGCTGTTAACTACAGTTGAGTGCTGGAGGGCGTAGAGGAGGTTAACGAGAGGTAAGACAGTAAGCCCCAGGAGCTGTGCTGATAGGCGAGGCTCGGGCTTGCCTGGTGCTGTGGTGAACCTTGATCTTTACCTCGCTGGACTGAAGGTGACCTACGGTATCTGTGAAACACATCCTTGGTTGTGTCTGTGAAGGGGTTTCCAGAGAAAATTAACTAAGTGGGAGAAGCTACACTTTGAACATGGGATACTGTCCCTGAGTCTAGAGGACTGGGTATGTATGTCAGGGGAGAGAAGAGGAAGTCAGTTCAATGGAGACTCTCCCCTCTCTTTAAGGTTGCTGCTTCAACATGGCTTCCATCTATCCCTGGCTAGCATCCTCCTTCCCAGATTCCTTTTCTTCCAGCCCTAAGGCCAGGGCTCTTTGTGGTGCTCTTTGACTACCTGCTCCAAACTCATGTGCCCCCCAAGAAAGAGAAGAGAGGCCCACAAGATCCAGGAAGACAGTGAAGACCCAGGCAGAGGACCCCCAGATTCACAGGCCCTACCCAAGGTTATAAGGGTGGAACTGACAGGGAGCTCCAGGATCATGGTATGTTTCTCTGTCTCTCTCTCTGTCTCTCTCTGTCTCTCTCTCTCTCTCTGTCTCTCTCTGTCTCTCTCTGTCTCTCTCTCTCTCTGTCTCTCTCTCTCTCTCTGTGTGTGTGTGTGTGTGTGACTGCCCAGGCTGCCTTTGAGTCACCCACGTTCCTGTACAGATGGAACTGTACAAGCACGTTGGCTCCTCAGGCACATGGACTTTCTTAGAAACATAACTTTTTGCTATTGTTGGTTTTTTACACTGCTACTTTATCTGAGTGAGTATTTGGACATTTGCTCATGTCTCTCCAGGAAAAGTCACACAGCACGCGATTGTGGAGGTCCTGCTGCTCAGGTCAGTGAGCCTGGCCTCAAGCTTAACCAGGCAGGACCTCAAGTGGAAGCTAAGGTGGAGACTGGTGTGGTGTCCAGGCTCAGGGTGCGAGGGTAGAGGGGCCTTGAATGCTCATGGTAAGGCTCTAGGGTGAGGGCTATGAGCCAAGGTCGATGCCCACCGGAGGAATGAGAGCCTATAAGTCAAGAGACATGAACTTAAGGGCCAAGGAGTGGAGGAGAGAGTGTGTCAGGGGGCTTAGTCTGGATCCCAGAGGACCTAAGGCCTAAAGAGCAAGAGGGTGGGCTATTTTTCAAGAGTGTATGGGTAGATGGGGAAGAGGCCTTGGGCTGAGGAAGGGGGGAGCAGGGAGAGCAGCAGTGGTTGATGTTAGAGGATGGAGGCCCATCGAAGGTCTGGTTCCTTCAGCCTAGGCTCAGAGCTTTTCTGGGTCTTCTATCCTGGAACATCCTGGGACCAGTGAGGTCAGACCAAGAGGAACAGAGAGACCATCTTAGTGTGGGGGATGGGTGCTGGGAACAAAGTGGTGAGGTGGCAATGACAATGAGGAATGGGGTCCAGAGCAACACAAAGTGGCCCTGGTGACACTTCTGATGGTTGCTGCTGTAAAGTGTGTGCGTGTGTGTGTGTATGTGTGTGTGTGTGTGTGGTGTTAAGGTTCAAGGAGTAAATATGTGAGAGGAGGAAGAAGGGTGTGGGTGGAAGGGGACTAGAGACAGGCAGGCAGGCAGACAGACACAGACAGACAGACAGGCAGACAGACACACACAAAGACAGACAAGCAGGCAGACAGACAGACAGGCAGGCAGGGAGGCAGACAGACAGACAGACAAACAGAGACAGACAGGCAAGCAGGCAGACAAACACACACACAGAGACAGACAGAGAAGCAGACAGATACACACAGAGACAGACAAGTAGGCAAACAGACAGACAGGCAGGCAGGCAGGGAGGCAGACAGACAGACAGACAGACAGAGTCAGACAGGCAAGCAGGCAGACAGATAGACACATACACACACACACATGCACACATACAGACAGACAGACAGATAAGCAGACAGACAAACAGGAAGGCAGGCAGAAAGACACACACAGAGACAGGCAGGCAGGCAGGCAGACAGACAGACAGACAAACAGAGTTAGACACGCAAGCAGGCAGATAGGCAGACACACACACAGATAGGCAGGCAGGTAGACACAGATAGACACATACACAGAGATAGGCAGGCAGGCAGGCAGACAGACAGACAGAAACATAGACAGACAGACAGAGAGACAGACAGACAGACAGAAACATAGACAGACAGACAGACAGACAGACAGACAGAAACATAGAAAGACAGACAGAAACATAGATAGACAAACAGACAGACACACACACACACAGAACCAGGCAGACACACACACACACACACACACACACACACAGATAGGTAGACAGGTAGGCAGGCAGACACAGATAGATACACACACACACACACACACACACACACACACACACACAGAGATAGTCAGATAGGTAGCCAGAGAGACAGGCAGGCAGGCACAGACACACACACACATAGACAGACAGACAGACACACACACACACACAACACACACACACCTGCCTTTTAGTAGAGCCTGTGGTCTCTGGTTGGAGGAAGGAAGCCCATCCGCCTCACTGTATCAACCACAGGGATTAATTGAGGGAGATGTCTACTGGGAGTGAACACAGGAGGTGTGTTTGGGGAAAACAGATATTAGGGATCACTTCTCTCTTTGATTGGTGGGCAACACTGGGACATGTCCCCAAAGTCACATGGTCTAGTAGGTGTGACATAGGCAACCTGTGCTTTGAGCTCTGCCTGGTGGGGGTTGGGGAGGCAATTTTGTTTGGGAGTGGGGCCTGTAGATGCTTACCATAAGGGCAAGGCCCTGTGGTCCCAGTCATTAGGCCATATCACCAAGCCAGTGCTCCATAGGAGACAGTGTGAGCCCACCACAAGAAAGCACAACATCTTACACAGCTCTGAGAGTAGGTACAGTTTATTGCACAACAGGGCCTAGAAGCCAGAAGCACAGGAAGCAGCACTGGGTATGTCCAGGGCTGCAGGTGAGGCAGGAGGCTGATCTATCAGCAGCAAGTCCCTTGCCAGCAGGTAGCTGGATGGAGGGGCAGCTACCGGGGATGGGGGACTGTATTCTCAGAACACGAGGGCAGCAGACCTTGAGGCTACCGTGCTCAGCCTTGTAGGCCAGGCCACTTCCTGGCTCCCTCTTGACTCCTAACACCTCCTCTGATGACAAGGGACACTTCCACAGGGTGCACACAGGCCAGTGCTTACTGCCACATTCCCACTGCATGGGGCACTGCAGACGCTGCCTGTCACAGGCCGTGAGCCAGACACACAGAGGTCCCCGCACACAACTCCACCACGGGAGCTGCTGACACCTATGAGAACAAAGGCAGAGTCAGTCTTGAAGCCTGGCCGGCAGCCACCCCAGCCTGTCACCTTCCCTTGGTCCATTTGTTTGCTCTAGCCCTCTGAGGAATGCCACAAAAAGCCTCAGTTTTAGTTTGTAAGCTGCATAGACGAGCTTTCTCTTGGGAGCCAGGAGGCCTGAGTTATGGATGTGGTTCTGCTCTTTAACCTCTCTGTGGACTCATCTTCCTCACTTCTATAAGGCAGACATTATATTAAGTGACTCTAAAGTCCCTTGGTGGTGA